ATAACGATGAATGTCGCTCTTCAACTCTGAATGCACGGAAAGAATTTTATAGTAAATACTATTAAATAGGATTTTGTAGCCGAGGAATAAATTGACCTTTTCGCAATAATTTATTATTCCTTCATTTCATACATGTCATTTATATTTTGGGAACTGAAATGTTCCATTAACATACTTGCTACGTTTCCAGTGAAATTTTCTGACTTTTAGCGAAATTTACTATGTTCTTTAGTAAGATAGACTTTACTGACAACCTATTCCTGGCGTACTAAAAATACAGTGAAACTGAAAAGAATTTATATAAAAGAAAACTATAATATTCTCTCCGTGTGTTGATCACGTTCCCCCCTAGCATGAACTTATGACGCCTAAGAAGTTTCACGAGAAAAGTTTCACATTTCTATCGCTCGGAAAGATACATGATTACTAAAGTCGTCGAGTGTACGTGAAGCTTTTCACGTTTCTTAGAAAAAAAGTTACGCAGGAGTAAGTTAATTGAAAAAGTTATGTATTGTTATTCCGGTCGCTTCTTGTTCATGGTAAGTTCGTAAAACATTCGTCAAAATAAGAAATCTCTTGCACAATAAATGACTTGACATACCTGATGTATCGCTGCCCGCGCTCCGGTGTACTTTTATGTTAGCCTACCGATCCAACATCCCGCTTCCGGCTGTTCCGTCATCGTACATCCTTGTTTAGCACTGACACTGACACTCGCGTGGATATGGTTCGAACAAATAAACGTGTGTGTGTGTGTGTGTTAACCCTTAGGCTACGATGTGGCGTCTCGGGAGAACCCCAGTTTTTGTACAATATGTATCTTTTAAGAAAAATTTTGGTCAAAGTATCATAGATTGTACGTTATTTAAATATTATCTAATGTCTTTTTCCTTATCTAAATAATAATATAATAAAAACGAAATTGGAATCGGTCAAGGATTGCACGCCGTAATTAATGATAAAAATAATGCCGTAGCCTAAAGGTTAGTAAACGCGACGTCGATGAGATTCCACGTCGAAATGGAATATTGATACGAAATATAATTGTTACTAACGCGCCGCGATACGCGTGCTCCGCGGTATACGTCTCGCACGACGACGCGAAGCGTAATGTGATACTTGGCAAAGTGTCCGACAACATGAGGATAAGTTTGACCTATTTGAAGATTTCGAATGTTCGAAGAGTATTGTTTTGATGGCGCGCCGTACGACAGCGAGCGGCAACAGTAGAGAGCTGTAGCCCTTTTTGTGCATTGTTTTGATACTCTCACGCGTTCCATAGCTTCCTGTGACTAAGTATTTATGTTCCGAAACCGAAATTACGCCTTCAGCTAGTGTGAGCGACGTGTTCTCTATCTATATTCTAATAGTATTCTATAGTATTTATATTCGATGTGTATTTGTCGCGCAGTCAAGTGATTAAAATATTTCGACTTGTAAAATTTAATCGGATTCGTAAAGTCGTTCTCTCGTCAAATTTAATGAAACTTTGTTAACATCGATTTAATGTTAACACGTGTCTCTTCGACTGAATTATCGTATCTATGTGAGAGTCAATGTTATAAGCTAATATCCGAAGTGTCGCGACTAATGAGTGATTGGCAACAGGAAGCTGAATCAGGAAGCGGCGAACTCAGGGTGAAAGACGTGGCCAGCGATATATATCGTACATTTCTAAATATATATATACATATATAAATGTATATACATTTCTAAATGTATATATAAATATATTTGCAGTTACACATGTAAAATTATTTATTACATTGACTATTTATAATTTTGAGGGATATTTGACTAACCTAACGAGGATAAGAAGTTGTACATTTTTATCTTTACAACTTCCTTTTTGCCCTTTTTGTATCTGCAAATCTTATCGACATTTCCAATGCCGATATAAAAGATATCACGAAAAAAGAAAATTTATCGTTCTTTTTAACTATTAATCATGTTTACTCATTACTCGTTATGAAGTGATTTGCATATAAATAATTCCTCCAATGAGAGAAGCGAACAACGAGGAGAACTATTATTACACGCAATACTTTGGAAAATTGTTATATAATCTCCCTCTTGAACAACGCACGTTGTCCCACTTAGGGCCCGCTGCAGCTTCGTGGGGTGCGCTGTTAAGTGCAAAACGGGAATTCTACCCGCTCATATACTTATACCATCCACCGGCGAACGATGGTGGAATGTTCTTTGTGAATGCGAAGCTGAATAGTTTGTTAGCCGAGCGCACGCTCGAACGCGCCAACTTTTCGCCGGTGTTCTGCAGGAGAGGCCATTGTTTCGTTGCTGGTGCCTCGCGAATCTTTACCCACCGATCTCGCGCTCTCTCACTTCCTTCGCCTTACTTTGCGTCTCATCTATACGCAACGAAGCAAGCTTTTCATGTCTTAAAAACTGCTCCGGAAAGCTAAGCACGATAACTCGAAAACAAAAGCGCGTGTTGGACCACCAAGACGCGGTTAAATGTGGATAAAACATGGAGAATATTGTTCTGCAATGTTTTTCGATAGAAATTACAGAGCGTGGATCTGGAAATTTCGGTCTGAAAATTTCATTTAAAAGAACGTACGTACATCGAGCTAGTGTTTCCCACCAGATAAACAGATAGACAGAAACAGACAGGTAGATCTCCCTCGCGGCAAGCTTCTCTTATCTTTACAGCTTTTATGAGGCTTACGAGGCTTAACGACCCCGAAGCAGCATGAATCACGCAGTACGTCTATAGCTGTAAGAAGCGTCCTTTCGTTACCTCAAATCAATAAAGCAGATAGTAGCCAAAAGAAACTTGTACGGAAAGAAAGTTATCCTGTGGATAAAGTTTTCATTTCGTTATAAAATATTCTTTCCCGTTAACTGTTAATGAAATTTGCGACTTTTGTCTCAAAGTATCCCGCAAAGTGTCAAAGCTTCATTGAGAGAAAAAAAAATTGATCTGAATTGATTGAATAATTATTTTTGGCCCCAAACATATCTTTTGGTTATTCTAACACAAAAATGCTAGTAGTGACATGTATGTAAAGTTATTATCGTTAACATTATAGTAACATTAAAAAAAATAAAAGATTTTTTTGACTATAATTTATAAAGATTATTTCTTTATACGATTATAGTTATAAATGCTAAGCATTTTTTTCTCACAAGAAAACCTATCCAAAAGATACACTCCAATTTCTTTCTAATTTGGCACAAATGTAGAAGTACAAAAAATATTTAGGTCATATTTTTTCATTTTGGCTTACTTTGAGTTTCACATGCAGTTTATAGCTTTTTAATGTTGTTATTCTTCATTCTAAATTTTTTTAGTCGAGATTCCAACCAAAATATTTTAAATCTATGCTAAATTAGTCAAAAATAATTCGAATCTCGGCAAAACCGAGAAATCCGGCAATTTTAATTAAAATTTTAACAAAATCGCCATAGCTGAGACACGAATCATTCTAAATTTCTTTAGCCAAGATTCCAACTAAAATATTTCAACTTTGTGCTAAATTAATAAAAAATGATTCGAATTTCGGCCAAACTGAAAAATTATTTGTATAAATATATTTTTTAACTTTTTACATGTTTTGTTTAAACATTTTATTATTTATACAAGTAATTTTACATATTTGACTTTTATTCATATATTCATAATCAGCAAACCAAAGACATCTATATCTTGTATTCAATTTTATTTCTTATGCATTCTTGTAGCATTTATTGATGATAGGAGTGAGAACATTAAAAAGTTATAAACTGCCCGTGAAATTCAAAGTAAATCAAAACGAAAAAATATGACCTAAATATTTTTTGTACTTCTATATTTATGCCAAATTAGAGAGAAATCGGAATGTAACTTTTGAGTAGGTTTATTTGTCAGTGTTCAAACGCGTATGTTCGAAACCGCATATCTCCTTTACTCGACTACCGTCTAAATTATTACTATTGTATATTCGACAGAACCTACTACTCTGGCGGGTTAAATTCCGTCTCGTCGGACTAGAACTTTACGACGCAAGAGAAGACGCGAAACTCTGCGAGTTCCCCTGCGCGAGTGTATCTCGAGACAGTTCTTGGTGCTCAATCTATCGCTGAGATGTATGAGCCGCGGTGGAACTCCTCGTAATCAGGAACGTTTCTCTCCCCTGGGGTTTACTGCCCTTTAATCCGGCGACGTGTGCATAGCGAAGCATATCCGTTGACATCGTCGTACGTAATTCTCCATTAAACGATCCTGGCGACAGTCTCTCTCTCTAACGGTAGAGAGCACTGTACGCTAAATATCGTGAAAATTACGCGTTACACGTACGAACTTGACATATTCGCGTGACATACGACCGTTTCGCATCCTCGTTTAACATGACTAATTTCACGCTGAATGTGATCGCACTCCGATACTGACTTCCACTGGTCTCACTTGAAAAAAGTATGTATCGTCTCGTGTAATCTGTAGACATAAGATAGATTCAGCATACGTGCAGAACAGAGACAGAGAGAGAGAGAGAGAGAGAGAGAGAGAGAGACAAGCAAAACATAGATGAATTTTTTTGTCTTTATCTGCGTAGGCAGAACACGCAATCGTTTTTTGACAGTCATGATGGAGGCTACACAAATGCTTTCAAAAACATACACGTATAATTAAATTATTTTATCATTTGAATAAAATATCTAATTTTAGATTAATCCAATATTATTGTTGTTTAATTGAATAAGTGACATTTCAAAGGAAATATAGGATGAAATTTATGTAATTATGCGCGACATTCGACAAATTTAGATTATTGTTACATGCCGGCCATTAATGCGCAGCAAAGAATAAAATTCACCGATTTTACTTTTCTCTTCGTCCTGTCGAATCCAAATTTATGTCATAAGAAAATATATGATATGCCAAGTTTATCTGATGTCTATGATATCACCGTTTTTACAACTATTACGCTCAACTTGAGTGTTACTTGTTAAATCGAGTGTTTATCGTTCATTACAATCGTGCCATAATCTTTGTTCAGATGCAGCCCAAAGTAACGATCCTGTGCACGCTGCTGGCGTTCGTAATCGTCGTCGCGGTCTCAAGCCTCATAGTGGACGCAATACCGCACAGGTAAAAGAAATTTCATTCGACGAGATTGAACGGAGGATCAATACGAGAGCAAAGTGATGCGGGGACAAATATTACAGATGGTGGTTACAAATATTACAGATGTAAACAAAACGTATAGTCACATATATGAAAACTTTTCTGCCCGCATTCCTACCATTTTTTCTTTTTTTCTCTCGTCCGTGCCAATAAATTCTGATATTATTATTAATAACAAAAGGAAAAACTGTCGGTATAAATTTCGAGCGAGGAAACTAATGATTTTCACCCGCGTTATCGGCTTAAGCGATCACGCAGTGTGTTTGCCGTGCGAATAAATCCCTGTAATTTTTCAAATAGAAGTTTTCGAATAATCGATTATACGAGCGCGCGCTCGCAGTTGCTGCTGATGTATGTGTACTTGTGCGTTCGTGTACTCAGGCTAAACGAATATGTTGAACGAGAGAACGGAAGTACATCTATTCGTGCGTCAAACAGTTTAACCCAGTTCCGTTTAACGACGCGCCAGATAGAAAGGAATCCCCTCGGTATACTAGAAGTGACTCGATCGTCGCCGAATGACGTTTCAAGCAATGTATAATTTCGAGTTGCTCGGGGCTGTTATTCCATTAACGTCGTCTTTATATTATACTTGTCTCCCTCGTCGCGCTCGCGCGCGGTTATTTGATTTGATTGTTAGCTTCTTCTTATGTCACAAAGATCACAAGTTCGGTGGCCGATCGATATCGTTGACAGAGCGCGCGCGCGCGAGAGAGAGAGACAGAGAAAAAGACGCTCGCGCGAACTTTTCACAAACGTAATAATCAAATGATTCAATTTCATTTACAGCCATGAAAGTTATTGGGATCAGCAGGATGACATAGACCGGGACGAGTTCCTAGAGATACTCTCTCGCCTTAGTCGCACCGTAATGAGCCATCCTGAAATGGAAAAGTAAGGAAACGTGCTAAGAATTTTAGAATACATGATGTTATCTTCTTACAACAACGTTAGAATCGCACTGGTGTACGAACGCGTGTAAGACGGAAATCCGATCATTACTATGTATAATGTATTCCCTTTTCTCCGTTACTTCGAGTGTAATTATAATTTGAGTATAATTTTCAACTGTACACGCGGAGAGAATATTATAGTTCCTTTTCTTTTCTTTACGAAAGACTGACGCGAATTTTTCGAATGGTGCGATGTCAATTCATTTCGAGAAAGAATGATACGAGTTTATTGACATGAATGATTTGCCAAAACAAAACGATGTATTCCCTAAAACGATCGAGCTGAGATTAATAAAACGTCTAATAAAATGTTCGATTCGCTCGTTCGCAGCACCAAACGGGGATTGGATTTGGGTATCAGTCGCGGCTTCAGTGGTTCTCAAGCAGCGAAACATTTGATGGGACTCGCAGCAGCGAACTATGCCGGCGGTCCTGGACGAAGGCGTCGTTCCGAACAAGCGTAGATGCCACACACAATCGCCGATGCAGTGAAATTATTATCCGTAACATCACGTTCGACTCGACCCTCCTACCACTCTGTCTCTACCTCGAGCTTCAAGCTGATGTGAAAATTTGCCGTTACCGTGGTGGTGTGACTAGGCGAGCGCTCACGCGCTCGAGAGATATTCGGCCATTAATTCCACTTAGACTTACAGCACGTTGGGGAGTGTTATATTGTAGCGTACATCTTTGTCTCCTCGAATCGTAAATAACAAGCAAGCTCGACGCCAAAAATTACGGCCCTAGTGAGTCGTTTGAATGTTACACGGGGTGTTCCCAGCGTCGATCGAGCTCTACCTATAGTCTATTCATCTCCCCTGCAGCCTTTGCACTCGAAAGTCTTCGCGCACCTCAATCTCAACTAGTTACACCACTGATCGCTCGTGCCACGCTGATTTGCGCGCGCTGCTGAATTGTAGATTTCTTCCGGAACATAAATTTTTTCGCAATGACGCTACTTGGAGACAAAATCGATTCGGCTGGATCTCGCGTAGGCGCTCCGACCGAAAGTTAATTTCACATGGAAATGTATACGAGTCTTTCTAGTCGTAGGATCGCCACGAGAATTGAAATGTTTCAAAGACAGTTAACTTTAATTGAGCGCAGATCCGGCTGGAGATAGAGAACACAGTTGTATCAATTAATAAACGACACGCCATGAAGAATATTGGGGATTGACTGAGCTCAGCTGTAGCTCGCCTACACGCGCGACCGAAATCGATGTTTCGCAATAATTTGGTAGATTAACATTGTTTGAATATAGTCGGTTTTCGCGACTCCGTGTCTTCCGCTCTTTGAGTCAGCGAGGAAAAATTCCCAATCACCGAACGGGAGAAAACGTCTCCAAGTGTGTCATTGTTGCGTGCCCGTCGCAAAAATTGATTTTCCATCTGGACTATATTGCATGCGCGCGCGCGCGAGTCGTACGCGGATTAGTAACTTTATCCATCCCACGAGATAAATGAAGAGGATACAGTGGAGGCGGCATTTCGCTGATCCGACAGGCTCCTGCGAGTCGATGACGCTCCACTTCCGGGCTGGATTTATTCTAGTCATTATTATCCGCAATTGAAATCGTATACAAGCTCGTCCTCGACGTTTCCCCGAGCGAGCCACGCGCTAGCGAGCTTTTTCCCTCCCTAATCGCACAGAATGATTTTTTCCCTATGCGCATGATCGAAACGCTCGTTTCGTTATATTTTCATGTCCCGACGTATTGCATGGTCATGTCTGTTTCCCAATCTCGCCCTACTCCTTCTCTTTTTCCGATTTTCCTAGTGAATCTTGTAAAAAAAGAAAAAAAAATAAGAAAGATCATCGTACTATATGATAATTGTATAATCGGTGTTACCGCTGGTTTAGATTAGGCGTGCTTAAACTTTGTCGACGAGGACGACACGTGAATTTCTCGTCGAGATCAAGAAAGATGGTGATTTCTTGTGCGAGGAATATTGTATATTGGTCTCGAACGATCGTGTGTCACTACTTTTCTTTCATTTTAAGAATAGAAAGCTCCTCTCTTATGAGACGTGAGATCGCTCGAGACTGGCTTTGAAGATCCTACTACTTCAGATCACTTTGTTTGATCAATTTCGACGTATTATCTATGCCTGTACACACAGAAGAAATACACAGAGAAAATCATCCTACTCTACTAAGAAAAGCAATTACTCAGTTTATTTTCCTTCTTTTAAGTAACAATTATCCCCCTTCGACGGAAAATATATTCTTAACGGTAGACTTGAAATCTACTCATGGAAAAATTTTAGAAAAGCTCATTATAATGCGCTGAAAAGAAGAATTCATTCTCTTTGCAAGAATATATCGTACACTGAGAAAAAAATACTTGGAAATTTATTTCTGGGATGTAAAGTTTGTTTATGTGAAATAAACTTTATTTCTGTGAATAAACTTCTTATCTTATAAATAAGTTCACAAATATTTTTCCTCGGTGTAAAATTTTATCGAAGATAACTGGTTCGACTTTATGCAAATAAAAGTATAAATCGAATTTTTGTTTATTCAAAGTTCTTGAATGAAATACAGAACCTGCAAGGAATCAGGATGTTTTGAATAAATTTGATATTTACGATGAACTTATGATACATTTGCGAATATCAATAAAAACCATTTACTTAAATGCAGTATGTATATTTCTGTGTGTAACACGCTACATAACACGCCACACGTGCACTGGCTGCATCGTGCTCGCGTAGAAAAATTAAAATGCTGTATTAAAGCGTGGCGTATATATATAGAGATAGCGAGACATTTCGTCCCTTTTCGTGTTACAGATTATCTCTCGTTAGATTTAGTCCGTAGACATCAGGGGTGCGCAACGTTCTATTTTAATTCGCTTTGAGATTAAAACGAGCAGCGAAATGGCTCATGTTGCATTAGTCGCCTTTTTTTCCATAGCACCGTTACGTTACATATTCGCATCGCGGAGATATTGTAGATGAAACAATAAATCGCAAAGTTAACACACATGCCATTTACAGTTTTTCAATTTAACCCGATTAAATTAGTTGAAATAACAAAGCGGCCTTTGTTATCCCAAACGCCGCAAGCAAACCGGCCGTAATTGAACATTGTCGAGTGACCTTTTTGCAGTGCGGGCTAATTTATTTTAATTTTAAACCAACTGCGGCCCACTTGGATATCTCAGTTGCGCATTCCTGTTAATAGGTGATAACCAAAGTACACATGTGAGTGTTGATAATGTTTCTAAACACGCTTGAGAAGATTATGCGCGATATAATCCAAAGAATTCGGAGCAACGGCTCGTTGAATAAATACTGCGATGACGTTTCTTTCAAAAATTGAGAGTATCTGGAAACTTTTATGTGTACTCTACACATTTATCTTAGAAATCAGAGATTAGAAATTATAAGACGATAAAAATTATGATCGTGATGTCAAGCGTCAAGTCGCGCTGACATACGTTTTAAAACGAATGCGCACTATTTCAGCTTATAGGATAATGTAAAGCTTATAAAATAATATAATAACTAACAAGTATTTAAACAACTGCAAGAAAAGATACGGCATTTATCCTACCGTTTCGCATGACATACGATTTAACGACGTGTTGCTTCGAATCCTCACACGATAATCGCGTCGTCCAATTGACAGACGACGAGTTTTATTTCCTCGTAAAATTATTTAGTATTCTAGAAATACAACACGCGAATGTGTCCACGGACGAAGCGATCCGTTCGATTGTGATCGCAGAGTCCCGTTTGGTTATCACCGACACCAGAGCGAAGCGCGTGAAGTCGAGACCTGTCGTTTCTGTGTATTATAAAGAGATTTATTGCCTCTCTATAGTGAAAACTGATCGTAAATAAAAGTTACCTACTTTAACCCAGCCATACGCGAACGTTATTTATTCCGACAATGCTTACGTAATGCGCGCTCTTGCGTTTAAACTTTAAATCATGATTCACGGAATCATGAATAATCGGAAAAGCGACGCGACACAGTTACGCTTTTCCACAGCAAATTGAAACTCTGCAGATTCAAATTATAAAAAAGAAACATAATCAACGAGATGCCTCGTCAAGTATCTTACGATCCGTTTCCGGATTTATACATTCGAAATAACGTTTCAAACGTTAACACAGTTGTCGCTGAGTAATGACCTTCGACATTCGTTCGATGTGTCGGGATGCCGCAAAGATGTGTTTTTTGTCGCGGAGTTTACGCGAGTGTGAAGCTCCGTCTACAATATGTGGACTGAGCTTAGCATATGAAAAGTAAAAGTAAGAAATAAAATTAATTTATTTTACTTATATACACTGAGGAGAAAATATCTAAAAATTAACAAATATTGATTAGGTGAGTACCATTAATATATTTACTTAAATCAAAATTCTTTTCATTTAAACCGAATATTGTTTACTCGGTTTAAATAAACAATACGCGGTTTAAATGAAGAGAATTTTGATAGATCCAACAGAAAAGGATCTATGGGAAATATATTTGTAATTGGCTAAGCGCCAATTGCGTTTCCGCGATTTCCGCTCCATGTGACATAAAGGGACACATTTCAGCGGATCACATTTGATGGAATATTTGCTGTTGGACAGGCTACGTTCCGTCAATTCCGCATTGCGCATACGTTCCGCCCCGTGTGACCGCACCATAACTCCAAGCTCGCATATTGTAAACAAAGTCTGAACACACATACAGCCACAGACAGATAGCATATATATAAAGAGTTTAAAAGAAAGAGGGGGAAAAAGAGAGGCGTCAGATGACCTTATAAAGCGATTGGTACGAAAAAGAATAACCATCATCGTCGTGTTCTACAACGCACTTTTCCAGTTGAGACTCGATAATACGGTATCTTCGCGCTCGTGAGCTCGCGTCTTGAGGAATTACGAGACGTGCTTCGGTTCACGCGACCTCGTGATGCATGCATACACACCACGTGTGCTTCGTATTTCCTTCCCACTCCGCGCACGTTTGACAAGTTGCATCGCTCCGACGCACTCGGCAGTGACAGTCGACAGTGTCGTGTTGTACAGGCAGACGCACGCTCGACGTAAGCAGAGAGAGATCATATACCGTTATCGGAGGTTATCGTGAGTAAAATCAGTGAACCGAATGTGCTTCATTGTAGATCAAATAGTCGTTCAACTAATGAACACGTCTAATTTAAAAAGTTATACTTGTTTCGCACGAAAGTTGTATATAATATTATCGCAGTTCAAGGATCAATTGGAAACATTTAACGTCAAGTGTGCTCAGAATACAAGCCGTGATTTTGTTGTAATTTAAAGAGAACTTTGTCTCTTGACATATATCAAATCATGACATAACAAATGTCGGAATGTTTTGTTTTCTTTTATCGGGTCAATAAACTTAATAATCGGGGAATCGAATCGTTACTGATAACGACGGACAAATACCGGGCTTTAATATATTCGGCGAGTAAACGTTAACTTAAATGATAATAAAATAGATATTTATGATTTGATAAAATACAAGAGAAAGTAGACTAACATAGTTACAAAATCATAAAGCAAGTTGAAGGCTGATACGAACAAATTGTTAACGTTAACGTTTTTCTTAATATTCGTGTCAAATTAAAAATCTTCGTACTCAAGTTGTTGATAACAATTCGAGTAAATACGTATCTCATTAGTGTTCTTATAAAACGATGTTTACTATTTTATTCATTTTGATGATATTACGATTTGTAAATGTTAAGATTACTTAACGATTTTAGAAGTTTCTTTTTCATTTTTCTTCAAAAATTTTTTCTTATTTATAAGAAATTTCTCTAATATTTGGACTATTTTTATTTTAAAGATGCACTGATTTTTTATATACTTATCCCGGCATGTCGATCAAGAATTACTTTACTATTATTTGCAGTAATATTTAGTACGTATTTGCCTTTAAGTTATTACTTTGAAATTTTGAAAATATTGCTCGGTATGCCAACGATAATTATGAATACATGTGTATTTATTACTGGCAAAATCGGAAAACAGCTGTTCAATTTTTCATTGAGACACACCGAATGTCAAGTGATAACATAGTTGTCAGCAAGCCGACGTCTAATGAATTATGAAAAATGAATTTGACATACTCGGTGAGTTATGACATAGGGAGAGATCGGACGATATAAATAATAAAATATGTAACTTCAAACAATACAAAATTTTCAATACCGCCGTTCGCGCGCGCGATTGAGGTTTACTCTATACATTATATTAGTTATTTAAATATATGGTTTGTAATCCCCGATCGAATAAGTTTCAGAAATATTGTGGTGAACGATAATTTGGCAAATGAGACGGCAGAGAGAACAAGTTAATATCAGAAAGCGTGGTGTTTGCGTGAGTGTGGTTGTATTCGGAACTTTGATCGGATGCACGTTATTAGCGTATACGGCATTTGCGGATCAAACTTCTAAGAATGGCACGTTGCAGCAGGTGGTCTTCGTAAGTAATTCATTCGACAGCAATTACTGCATACTACTTGTACTTGACATTAATTTATTGGATCAAGTCATAAGTGACTTCCGTCTTCTTATTTCTCTTTGTGAATATTATTTCATACGTAATGCGTTTTACAATAAAATCTAATCCAACAATATATATGTTACCATTAACGATAGCTTACGTCTAATGAATAACTTCATCGATTCCTCACACAAATGTTTAGAAACAGGTACATATTCACTGTCTTTGTGAGAAGTTATTTATGACTCGACTCTCCCATGCAGTATTTTTATACTGTATATTCAGTAAAAAACCCAGTGGGGAACTTTAAGTTAGTCGAAAGTTATATAGATAAGAGAGAGACCAGTGATAAATTTTCGTGACACTCTAATTTTTCTTCATACGAAAATAATTATTGTTCTTGGCAGCTGTTTCGTCATGGTGACCGAAACCCCACGGAAACTTACCCGAAGGACCCTTACTTAAATTACTCTTGGCCCGGCGGTTGGGGTGCTTTGACCAAGGTTCGAGTAATATGCAAATACCGTTAAAAATATCTCTTATACACAAAGCGTCTCAGTAAATCGCGGTAAAAACAACTAAGATAATAACGGAAATAATAACAATATAATATCGGGAAACAAAATATAACATACAATGTATATCTTGTGATAAGAATATATGTGTATATGTATCCCGACTTTGTAAATTGTAAATTAAATTGTATCATTACGCGTAAGAAGTATCGTTCGCGAGACGCACAATTGGGCATGAGTGCACTGCAAATTTTAAGCTCGTATATTGATAGCCACTATTTGAAACTCGTCTCAAATGAGATATTCAGATTTAAATTCAGAGTTAAATGAGAGTTTTTCAATTATTTCAGCGATTATTTATTAAACAAAACACATTTTAAACGTATTAAACGAATGTCTTTAAATGTATTCAATAAGCACGTTTAAATATATGAAATTAACACGTTTCAATATGTGTGTATGTGTATTTAAGGCGATAAGAAACGTATTGAAAGAGTTCCAGTCAAATAACATATTTAAGCATGTAAAATTAAAACACACTTAGATTTGCAGTGCAAATGAGACATCGTGCATCATCGACCGCGAAACTTTTACTTCCAGAAGGGAATGCAGCAACTTTATAAGGTGGGTCAATGGATTCGCGAGGAGTACGGCGTGATAATCGGCAACAAATATAAAAGTGCGAACACGTTGGTGCGTAGCACTTTTGCCGAGCGGTGCATCATGTCAGGGCAAGCACTTCTCGCGGGACTATTCCCGCCGAGTCGTGAGGACATGTTCGTACCCAATTTGGAATGGACACCTGTTCCTGTGTACTCGATACCGCGAGAGATGGACAAGGTACGATTCAAGATTGAATTTACATGAAGCAAATAAGCAGCTCATATTAACACATTTCGCACACATTCCGCGTTTTCCTAATCCGTTCCCACAATTCGCGCGTTGAAGCGAAAGTACCATTGTCTTTAAATTTAGCACTCCATTCGTACTTGCAAAGACGTCTGTATACGAGATACTTTGTGACCCGCGCTCGAATCAAGTAACCACGAAATATCTCACGAACATTTACACGAAACACTTAAACGATAACAGAGGCGCGCGTTATCTTAAAGATAAGAGGTGAACGTTATCTTAAAAAATACGCTTCTTCTAAACATCTTATTATTTGAAAGGCAGTGTATGCTTTCCTTCATTATTGTTTTTGAATATCGAGATAAGTTTCAGATTGATATTTATAATTTAATAAACATTTATAAATTATTAATATATAATCATTAATGTAAATTAATAATATAATTAATAATACAATTACAAATAATTATAGGTACACGAATTTCTGATTATTCCTGAAATTGTATATTTTATTATACAAGATAAAAAATACTGATAAAAACAGTCCTGATTGCCGACAAATATGAAGCGCCAGCTTATATTAGCAAAGTAGAGGCCTATAAAATACGTATTTTTCAAAACAGTAATATTGTTACAGTTGATAGCCGTAAAAGCGCCATGCTCACGACTAGCGGAGGCTCTGAAGCAAGCCTATTTTGAGGAGGAGAAAAGATCGGGCGAAGAAATGGCTGATTATTACAAGAACTTGACGAAATATACAGGACAAAATATGACCACGATCACCGACGTCGAGTTTCTTTACAATACTCTCGAGATCGAAGAAAAACACGGGTTAAAACTTCCGAACTGGACTCAGAAATTTTACAACAACGAGATGCGCGAAATAGCCGCTCGCAGTTTGGCGCTTTTCACTGACAACGATATTCAGAAACGTCTTCAAGGAGGTACGACGATAACTTCTACGTAACAATAAAAAGTATGCGCGTTATCCCCGCGAAAATGTACTTTTCAGATTATATCGCGAGATTTTATAAGTAAATCTACCCAAAAGGCACACTCCGATTTCTTTCTAATTTGGCACAAATGTAGAAATACAAAAAATATTTAGGACATATTTTTTCTAATTTTTGATTAATTTAGCACAGATTTGAAATATTTTGGTTGGAATCTCGGCTAAAGAAATTTAGAATGATTCATGTCTCGGCTATACCGATGTCTCAGCTATAACGATTTTGTTAAAATTATTTAACTGTATCTTATATTCAATTTTATTTTTTATGCATTTTTGTTACACTTGTTGATGATAAGAATGGGAATATTAAAAAGCCATAAAGCTGCCCGTGAAACTCAAAGTGAGCCAAAATGAAAAATATGACTTAAATATTTTTTGTACTTCTACATTTGTGCCAAATTAAAAAGAAATCGAAGTGTAACTTTTGGGTAGGTTTACTTATTAGTATTTGGTGATGCAAAATATCACCAAGCAATCACCAAATAATAAATAAATATAACCAAATCTCACTACTGCGACACCTTACAGGTCCGTTAGTAAAAGAAATTCTACAACATATGGAAGAGACTATAATTCAGCCGCAATCAAGACGTGCTTACTTCTATTCCGCTCATGACATAACTATCGTTAATACGATGAGAACGATGGGATTTACGAGTAAGCGTCTCAAACCGGATTACGGGGCGACGTTCATTCTCGAATTGCATCTCGCCGATAACGGGGATCAGGAAGTGAAGGTAGATATATTGATAGCATTATTGTTTTTAAATTCATGATGCTACACTGAGAAAAAAATACTTGAAAATTTATTTGTGAGTGTATATAAAGGTTTATTTCACAGAAACAAACCTTACTCCACAGAAATAAACTTTGTTTCTCAAAAATAAACTTTATATCCCACAAATAAATTTTGAAATATTTTTTTCTCAGTGTAATTACGCACAAATCTTATAAAAATGTTCACGTCTGATTTAACATTTACGGCTCACAGAATGTTTCAAAATATTAGATACAGTTCTTCACGGATCATGGTAAATTGAGGTAATGCATGCGGAGTGATTACGCATAATTACCAGAAATGATATGTAATTAGTTTAACAGCATAGTTGCGAGGATTATTAAATATCCTTCATATCACAACGAGATGACGTAATTGTGCGTATATACCACCTAAACAATACACTAATGATACGATTCTTTTTATGATTTTATTACAGATGCTATATCTGAACAATTCGGAAACGAAAATTGCGTCACCTCTGGAAATACCTAACTGCGCGAGTCCTTGTTTATTGCAAAATCTGAAGAATATCTGGAGTAAAATAATTCCGGAAAACTGGGATGCGGAATGCAAAATGTGACAAACTGTATAGTTCCGTGTGCGTCCAAAACTTTTCACATATCAAATATGCATATTTGATAATATCTCGTCATGACAAAGACGCAAGGCTTATTTTCAGCACTCCCGGCAATGATTTAGACGCAAAACTCGCATTTAACGAGCCAAAATGATAGGAACGAGAAAATTCGCGAAATATTTTACACTTCCGTAACCGTTTTTCAGCAGAACAGAAACTTTTGATACAACTCCAATATAACAAACTGTAAGCGAGCAAATAAAGTCTACGAAATTATTAGACCCGTTGTTTCTGACGAATGAATGCAGAGAGAAGCCTGAGGGCGGCCACCAGCTTGATTTTAGTAGCCAGAGCTAGGCACATTTTCAAGACGCCAAAAACAAAGTACGCCTTTATTACGTTTGTTAGGCGCATTTTCTCGGTGGTAACGATAAAATGCGATAAATAGTTCGTGCCCGTTGTACTCCCGTACAATGATACTAAGTTAGAAAAGGACAAATATCCAATCTCTCTGCTCTTGTCTCATTGATGAGCAGCGAAATTATCGCAAAGCTAGATCATCTCTAACGTTATGGGCGCAACATTGGGATATTGATAAATTATTTTCAAAATTCTGGATGTACTACTGAGGGAGTAGAATGACACTAACACACACTGTCATCCAGGAGACGATTCAAGCGAAATACGCACGTCTTTTACGAAATTGAACTTTTGTAATCGAAAAAGTTACTTTAAAAGACTATGAAAATTATCTTAGAACGTACTCTACATGCTAACACTACATGACCTAACTATCAGTCGCATGACCGACTTTCGGCTCATGCGCAGATAGATATCGCATGCGCGAGAATCCGAATGTAATGCTACGATGGATCTAACGTTACGGGCGCGACTTTGAGATATTGGAAAATTATTTTCAAGATTATAGTAGTGTTACTGAGGGAGTATAGTGACATTAAGGCATATTGTCATGCAAGAGACGATGCAAAGCGGAATACGCACACTTCACGTCATTTTCGAAAATACACCTTTGCAAACGCGAAAATGTCTTTAAGCAACTTTAAAAAATTATCCCAGGCTTAACTAACTTGGCTTAATAAATTAACGAAGACTCAAAACATTTCGGTTCGAGTCTCGGCTTAATAATTTAATTTGTTGTCTTTAATTTGTCGAAATTATTTAGAACTATTGTTATATATGATATAGAACTCTAGAACTATTGTAAAACAAACCGGAACTCTAAAGAAATAGTTAAT